AGGAAGAGCTAGATGGAGATTTAGTGATTGAGGAGTTCTTTTCAGCATGGAGCTGTATGAGCATCAGCCCTGTGTTCATGCCTCTTCTACAGGCAGTGGAAGAGAGGGAGATATCCTCTGTGATGGTGAGGAGGTGCTGGGGACACACATAGCTAGGCCACAAATGAAAATAAGATTTTATTTGAATAAAAAAAATCTTTATATTTGTACCTCAAACTTACTTTATATTTACTGTATTTGAAAAGAGGCATATTTTAGTTCACACAACTCTCTCTGTGCATGCATGGTGGTGCGTTTGGTTCAAACAGTATATATGTGTTTCTGCACATATTTCTTTGGTGCAGAATTCTCCCCATGCAGAAAAAGCCCATAAAGATGAGTGTGGTTTAGATTGATTACATCAGTGTGTAGTTGGTTGGACAAAGTGCTGCGAATGAAGTGTGTGCCATTTGGTGCAAAGGTTTGTTTTTGATAAGTGCTTATGTGGTTTTGAGCGCAATGCTTCATTTTGCAGCACATATATGTTGTGTTGTGCACTTTCGGAGTGCCGCGCCACACTAATTGAGCCGCATAAGCGCATGGGTGCGCCGCATTTGCGGCTCAGTTCAGGCTCCCTCAACAAGATGAGGACCCGTCCGCGAGGTGAGGCACCCTCCGCAAGGTGAGGCCTCACGCAGTCTGCGTGATCGGCCTGTAGGGAGGGATGGCCCTGACTGTAATCATAACTGACTAAAACCGTACCCAAAATTAAGAAACGCTTATTCAATACACAAAACAATAGTCTATAATACAGTAGGCCTATATGTACATTTCTCACCTTTGGTTTCATATTTCATGGATCGTCGTCGGATTAAATTTCTCTGAATTTTCGAGGCACCCTCGGGATACTTGCCTTTTGTAATGTATTTTAATATTTTGCAAACGACATTTTGATCCATTTTTGTTTGCAAAATTAGGTGAAAAGGTCCCAACTTTCCTCTCCAAACTCTGGTACTTGCTGTCAAGAAATTACGGCTGGCGCGTCTTTTAAGTGTTTATGAGTAAAGGTGAAATTACGACAACATTAAGTTATTTACGTATAACGTAAATAATGAGTTTTTTTTCAATATAAATGCAAACAAAGTTTAACTGAGGTTCAATTGTACTTTTACACAGTTGTTAATTAATTTCCACATCTGCATTTTTTTAACAGTTTTTCTTTAATTGTTTACACACATTTGAGTAGGCCAAAACACTAAACACAATTCATAAAACCACACACCCAAAGTGCACAACACACCATATGTGCTGCAAAATGAAGCACTGCACTCTAAACCACTTATTAAAAAAAAACGTTTGCACCAAATGGCACACACTTCTTTCACAGCACTTTGTCCAAACAACTACACACTGATGTAATTCATCTAAAGCACAATCATCTTTATGGGGAGAATTCTGAACTAAAATATGCTTTCTATGAAATACAGTCAATGGAAAACTAACTTTGAGGAAAATACAAACACAATTATATATTCTAAAGATTATTTAGATTTTTTGCTTAGCTGTGTGTGGCCCCAGCACCTCACCATCACAGAGGATATCTCCCCTCTCTTCCACTTCCTGTAGAAGAGGCATGAACAGTCTTTGTACAGTGCTTTCATCCTGATTGATGAGTCAACAATAAAGCAGTTCAGTGTTTATGGTCATTTGGCATGTGTATTTGATTATTGATTTTTAATGGCAGTGTTTTGAAAATGGCAAACAAGTGACTATGTCAGTTGTTTGCCTGAACTATAGAACTGCGTGCAGTGTTGCAAAAGTGCCATGTTGAATTTAAAATTGAGTGCCAAGCTGAAAATGTGTTTAGATTTTTGGAGACTTGAGCTGAGGTTTTGCTTTTTGAGTGTCACTTTAAATAATGTTGCTTTATGTGTAATTTTAGTGTGTTTGCAAACGAAAAATACTGTATTGGTCTAATTATTTATATTTTACAAACCTATTGCAATAAAGTGAAGAAATGGAGAAGACACCACAAATGTGAACAATTATGTTTGGGTGAGGTTAAAAGAATGTCCCTTTATTTTGTGGCCATGTAGGGTAATAAAGAACGTGTGCGCTGTTGAAAGAATTCAAAACACTTATACTTACTATACTTATAAAAACAGGGATCTTTCATTGCCAGGAAAAAGGATAACTTTATTCAGATATGCAGAAATGACTTGGACTGCATGCAAATAGAAGATCTTAATCTTCCTCAGGATAGAAAGTCTGCTCTGCCGGATTTGGAAGCCCCTCTTTAGTTTTTTACCTGCTGGGCCCAGAGTAAAATGCTTTTGCGAGCACAAACTAGAGGGGAACAGCAAACACCAGTGTGATTTTGGTGAGTCTCTGACCATCCTGGACAAAATGATAGGGGGGGTTCCAAATCCGGCAGCTACAACACCTGGTCTGCCGGATATGGAAGCCCCTCTTTAGTTTTGTACCTGCTGGGCCCAGAGTAAAATGCTTTGGTGAGCACAAACTAGAGGGGAACAGGCAACACCAGTGTGATTTTGGTGAGTCTATGACCATCCTGGACAAAATGATAGGGGGGGTTCCAAATCTGGCAGGAGAAATACCTGCTCTGCTGAACATGTTATGTAGAGAACAGTGCAGATCTTCCCTATTGACACCAGGGTTAACCTAGTCTAAAATAAGGAACATTAATCGTGTGATATAGGCACAGATATAAGATCAATAATACACTTTATTTTAGGGCACATTTCAAAGCATCAATAGGACTATACTGACAAATTACATCTTATCCTGTTCTGTAGGAAGGAGGAACATAACAGAGTGGACTCAAAAACGGAAGTTTGTTCCAATACGAAGATTGTGACAGATCTGAAAAGTGTCCTTAAAACGAGCCTCCACGCAATTGTATGCACATTATTTATTCAGCCGTTTGCCGTTTAATTTGATGGGAAATATATCATTCAAAAGAGAGAAAGTAAATAGTATCTTTCGTTTTTCCGCTTAGAAAACGAGGCGAACGCTCAATACAGGCGATGACGTCACTTTGCTCGTCCCTGCGAACAGGGCTTCAATCTACGGCAAGGCTTCAATCTACGGCATAACACCGGCTCTTCCCTAGAGTGTGCCGCTTGGTAGTGACACCCATAGATATATATAAACAGAGTTTGCTATTTGGATTGCATTAAACAGAGTTTATATATATCTATGGTGACACCCCCAACTCTGACCGACTTCCCGCGTCCCTGAGGTGTGAACAAAATGGTCTATTTCCCTTTTCATGTCGCATACATACAGTTCAAATAACTGAACATTAGCTTATAACCGTGTTCAAGTTTCACAACGCTTTCGTGGGTTTACAACGTCACAAAGCCCGCCGCATTTAGCTTAGCCACCATTAGCTTAGCCGCAATTAGCTAAGTCACCATTAGCTTAGCCGCAATTAGTTTAACAGCAATACGCTTAGCCGCAATTAGCTTAGCCGCAGTCAGCTTACACTGTTTAGCGGCCAATAAGCTAAATATTACAAACAGTAATCATATCACATTCATGTCAATGTTTCATAAACACATTCAAACACTTTAAGGAACATATTTCTAACAGTTAAGTAGCAAAAACCGTTAGGCTAGCAAGCTAACTACAAGCTGACTCACCGGAGTTGTTCATTTGGGAGGAACGACATCCCGAGTTTCTCCCGAAAGTTCTCCTTTTTCTTCACTGATATTCTGCAGCTGTTCATTCTGTGGAGCACACTAGCTGTCCTCAGTGCATTTCAATTAAAACTTTTACATCTAAAATAACTTTTCTTAATTCTTATCTTAACACCTGCCTGGAGGAGCTTAGCTGGCGTCTGTCTCTCTGCTCACTGTGATTGATTGATTGATTGAAAAGTTTATTAACAGCTTGTATATTGGGTACAGTACAGTACAGCTCAAAACATACAATTGTTAAGGGGATGCAGACCAGAGAAAGACTTTCGTCTTGTTTACATCAGGGTCCCCCATTTCCAATTCATCATATCATTTAAGACATATAAGACATATTTGACATACAGATGGCTTATTTACAATTTACATACAGGTGGTTTTTTACATACAGATGGCTTATTTACAATTTTCATTTTAGATTTCGTTCTAATACATCCTAACCGGACATTTAAGACATACCAAGTCTACAGATATACAGTTAGTAACAGAGTCTAAAATGCGAGTATATACATAGATGAGGCGTTCAGGGAACCTCTGTACAATCTAGAACCAATCAAATAACCCCGGTTACAAATAAATTACTGTATTTTCCCAAAATATTAATGACCTTTTTGTTATTGGCACCAGGGAGCCGATGCATGTTAAGGTTGCAACAATTAACATTTAGAATACAAATATAGTCAGATCAAGAGGTTAGTCGACATTTTTTAAATAGTTTTCTAATGATTCAAAGAGTAACAGATTTAACATCTAATAAAAAGTGACAGATACATTTTTTTACTAGATAAGATAAGATAAGAAGTACTTTATTGATCCCAATTTGGATTGCATAAAAGGACATGGCATTGTACAATAAAAATGAAAAGACTAGAAATAAACTTTCCAAAACGTAAACATCTCAATAGAAATAAAATGGCATTAAAAAATATATACATGTTGTCTAGCTTTCCTCAAATATATTTGAGTTGCTGTCTTTCCTCTAACATATATGTTTTTCAGATTTGACTAATCTTAACTGGATTTAAAATCCCACTCGACATTTTACATTCAATTTAATATTGAATAATCCTGCACAATTATCCTGCATTATATTTGTAACTGGAAATTCTATCAATCTATCTATCTATCTATCTATCTATCTATCTATCTATCTATCTATCTATCTATCTATCTATCTATCTATCTATCTATCAAACATTTTCTGGACGATGTAGTATCACCGTCTGACCACTAAGAACCTGCTTCCACTGCCGGCGCTCTTCCTTCGCTGTGACCTCCTCTCCGCTCCGGAAGAAGAAGAAGAAGAAGCTGCCCTCCTCCTCTCACGCTGCTGCTTTCTGTCCGCCTGTTTGTGGCTAAAACACTGTCGCTGTGTTGGACATCATGGCTTCTTCTAAGCCAGTGGAGACCCAGATGCCCCGCTGGCAGCTGGCCCTGCTGGTGGGGACCCCGCTGGTGCTGGGGGTCGGGGCGGTGTACCTGTGGAACCGCAGCCGGTCGGAGGGTAGCGGCTCCGGGGATAGAGAGCCCGGCTCCGGGGAGAGGAGCTCCGGGGAGAGGAAGACACCAGAGGGCAGCGCGAGCCCTGAGGCCCGGGGCCAGGAGCAGGACAGCATGGTAACATCAACACCACTCTAGCATGTTAACCATCATGGGGGTGTTACCTGTGGGAGAGGAGCACCGAGGGGTTTCTGGCTAAAACTGTCGTTTTCCTCAAGGACACCAACCGTTACTGACAGCTAGCTTACTGAGCTAGCACCGGATTAGCTAGGTTAGCAGCTAGCTAGGCTAACTAGATACATAATATGGTTAGCTTGGGTATCAATGCTGCATACAAACACACAGGATTAACACAGTAAAGAAGACCAATTGTAAGAAAAAGAGACCAACAATACAACTATTATAACATTAAATTAAAGCAATATTTATACGAGTATTTCAACCTTTACCACCAGTGACAGCTAGCCTACTGAGCTAGCACCGGATTAGCTAGGTTAGCAGCTAACTAGATACAGAATATGGTTAGGTTGAGAGGAATTAGCTTTGGTATAAATTCTGCATACAAACACACAGAAGTACAAAGTACTATTGTAGAAGCTACTATTTTAAACACTATTGTAACACGTTTAAAATGAAGACAATATTTACACAACATATAATTATGTGAGATATAAAATAAAATATGACAAATAGTTTATGAAAGTGTAGATCTGAGCAGATTACAGAAAGGTCGCGTGGAGCAGGATTAACACAGAAGTACAAGAAGACCAATTGTAAGAAAAAGACCAACAAATAAAACGATTATAACATTAAAATAAAGCAATATATTTACAGGAGCATTTCAACCTTTACCCCCAGTGACAGCTAGCCTACTGAGCTAGCACCGGATTAGCTAGCAGCTAGCTAGGCTAACTAACCTGCTTACAAATTGCCTTTATTACCTGTTAAACCATCACATGCATATCTCCAGATGCTAACATGAAACATGGTAATGCGTGTTCATCTGTACCTTTGTTATTGTAATGTTAGATATTGTTATTCTGTCAGAATAGATATTTATTTTTACTAAATTGGGAAATTAGCAGCATCAATGTGTTCAGGCATTCACATAATTAAATGTTGGTTTGAACATAATACATTAAAATCAAAACAAGGAATAGCAGTTAATACATAATATATACATTCCTACAGTAGAAAGGACAATAACCACAGATAATCCTAAACACTTTCTCTTTGTGCCGGTTCTTCAACATTCCTATTGCCCAACAGTTAGCTTCATAATTAGCCTCTAAGTAGGTTTGATGTTCAACTGAATTCAGTTTGAGAGATTTCTCGTCTGTTCTTAGTTGTTTAATGTTATGTATTGTGCACTAGGGCTGTCCCGAATACCATTTTTCGGGCTCCGGATATTCGGTGCGTGCCTTCATTTTTCAGAAGGTTCGGTTTGCGTTCACACGGGCAAAATTCAAATGGACTTTAAACACAAGTCACGTGCACGGAAATGCTGTTCAACCATTGGTCAGACAGTAAGGGGGGGTAAAAAGGCAAATCCCGGCAATTTCTACCGTAGCCTCCGCCATGGAGCATCGGCAGGTTATGTTCATGCTGCTGTTAATCTGGAGAGCATATCAACAGACTCTAGCAACGGCTCATAGGAGTATATAATCAGACAACGTGCGATAACAAACATAATAACCCATATGAGAGACGTCCTGCAGTCAGGAGGGGCGTTTCACCGACGGCAGGTGGCTCTGACTTTTATGTATAGTTGAAGGAGCATTTTTTACTTTACACAACACTGTTCAACACTTCATTCTGCTTCACTCTTTCACTAAAGGTTTTGAAGACATCCGCGTTCTTGTGACTCGTAAATACTTTGCTTCCTGTGTTTTGGTGCGGACTGCGTTCACACCAGCGATGAACCGCTCCAGAGTTCATAACGAAATTGAAAACCGAATAGTAGGCCAACGGCCGAATATTCGGATATTCGGGTACAGCCCTATTGTGCACTACTCTTCTACCATTGCCTGCAGCACCAACTTTAAGGAAGGTTTTCTACGATTGGAGCGATTGAAGCATCAACATTTCAGTTAGTCATGCACGGGTAATTGTGGAAAGCCAAAATCAGGATTAATATTATAATTATAGTTTAGTTTATAAAGTGCTTTTCTACATTACTTGGACAAAATTCAGGACAGAAGTTAAAGAGGACATCATCTGCTCATGTTCAGGTTGATATTGGTGTCTCTACTGTAATAATAATAATACCTTGGATTTATATAGCGCCTTTCATCAGACCCAAGGTCGCTTTACAAGGAAGAACAGGAGTAGAAACAAACATAACAACAACAAAAGGCAGTCAGACGAACAGTTAGACAAAACAACAAATAGATTTGCGGCCAAAGGCCTTGGCAGACGGATGGGACTTGAGGCCCTATGAAGGCGTCAAGCGTGGGGAGGTTGCGGATCAGCAGCGGTGATGGCAAACAGCCCAGTTGAGATGGCAGAGAGGAGCCCAGTCGGATAGCACAGCACGACGGTGAGCTCGTTTTGCTAATGGCAGGACGGCAGAGGCTAGGAGCTAAACAGCAGCCAAACATAATCGGCTGAGCAATGGAGACGGCAGAAACACAAACCAGAGCAGAACACTCTTTTCGCTGTGTATGTGAAAAAGGATTGACGGCAGGGAGTGATAGACACGAGGAATAAGCGTCGGCAAGAAGAGCGGAGAAAAACACGCCAGCGTCCCCTCTAGCCAACTTTAAGCATCATGAGCATTAAGCATGGTACTGTGACATGTTTCCATGCTTTAATGCTGGAATATTACACCTAGCAGACCGTTGACATGCACTAACCCTAATCTAGATAAATAGATTAAGAAATAAATCTGAGCATCAAACCGAGCGTCAGACGGCAAACAATGTCTTCCTTATCCATTGTGCAGAACTACTCTTCTCTCCCTTATGAAACGCTCATCTTCATATAGGGCTGCTCGATTATGGCAAAAATCATAATCTCGATTATTTGGGTCAATAATTGATTATTAAAAACGATTATCCATTTACTTTGAAAACATCAATTTATTGGAGAAAAGACGTTTGAACAGTATGTTTTTAACAGTTGATTACCCTGAACTTTAATTCAACTGAAAAACCAATATATAAAAAATTGATTTGAAAAATAAAAAGTAATAATAATAAAAAAATTATCGTTTTATTTCGATTACGTAGTTTTCGTAATCGTTGCAAGCCATAATCATAATTGCGATTAAAATACGATTAATTGAGCAGCACTACTTTCATAGAGCCACTCGTCATGTCTTTGCTGCTCTGCAACAACAGCATCTGTATTTAATGTTTATACCTCCTTTGTTTCTAAAGCTTGGATAAAACGGTCAGGATGGTCCATTTGTTTAGAAGTAACTGAACTCTCTTCCTCTCGGCGCGCGCCCTCAAACCAACATGCAGATGTTCCCCGTAGAAAGTGATGCCAGAAAACAATATCTCTGTTCCTCAGAAACGGTTTAATTCCTCCAGAGATCTGATAATCAAACAGAGCGTCAGACGCAGAGACAGATATGGATTTATATACTTTTTTATATATTTTTTATATTTGGATATTTTTGAATCCAGAAATCTGAGGGTCAGACGGCATCAGGGGGTCCGCGGGGTCTTAACAAGTATTAAAAGTTAATAAATCAATTTAGCGAAAATGAAGGCTATTAAAAAGTATTGAACGGCATTTTCTAAGGTATTACATTTTGTAGCTAGTTTCCAATAAGTATATGAATTGTCCAAAGAGGTTGTATTCTACAGTCTGCCTGAATGTAATCATTGCGTAGGTGTGTAGTGTGATTCTGTGTAGTTTATTTATGGCATCCCGTTCAGACGTCATCTGAACAGGACATCGCACGCTCACATCACTTGTCACTTGTTAGACGCTTTTATCCAAAGCGACTTACATACTCAATACTGAGGACAAACCCCACAGGAGCACTTTGGGGTGAAGTGTCTCAGGGACACAACGACATGCTGACTGCAGTGGGGTTTGAACCTGTGACCATATGATCCCCATACCAAGGCTCTATCCACTGCGCCACACGCCTCCGCTCACTGCTTGATAGCGCGCGAAGGTCCGTTTACGCCGGTTGTTAAACAACATGGTTATGGGGAAATGCAAGTCTGCGTCCAAATGGTTGGAAGATAAGGAGGAAGGACAATCAATACTGTATGTAGTCAATGTGAGGTGAAGTGTGTCGCCAAGGTAACCGGTTAGAACTCAAAGTGGAGATGAGGTCTTAAAATGTATGGAAAGGGTCTTAAAAAAGGTCTTCAAAGGTCTTCCATGTGACTTCAGGAGTCCTGCATATACCCTGGATATATATCTTTTACTATGAGCATCAAACAGAGCGTCAGACGCAGAGACAGCTTTGATTCTTGGTCGGTCTGACACTGAAACTGAGATTTCTGAGTTCCTCCTTTCCGTAGAGGAAGTAAAGAAACCTCTGGGTTTATTTGTTGTTTGAGGAGCGATATATGACTCTGCAGCTTTAAGACGTGAAGACACTATCATATCCAGCTTCTCTCTAATGCAGTATTTACACCTGAAAGTGGGCGGGGCCTAATTTAGACCAAAAGTGACGTCAGCACCCTCATGCTATATTTCACTAGAAAAACCCCTGATCAGGTTCATCACTATTAGCACCTACTATAGCCAGAAGGATCTTGACATCTACCATTTTTTTATTTTGTCAATCGCCCAGTTGATATAATAAACTAAGATGGGTGCTTCGGTGTTTCGGTGCGCTTGTGTTGTGCGTTAATTATATATTTTTTGTAAAGTTATTACAGTGTTCTTAATATAGTTTGCTATCTGTTTCATTTTATTTTGTTTTACTTTCATGTATGCACCACGACACCAGGTCAGATTCCTCGTACGTGTGAACCTGGAGATAAACCTGGTTCTGGTTCTGATGACACTGTTTCTTTCCCCCTCTCGCTCAGAGCCCGTTGGACCGCGCCCAGGCAGCGAAGAATAAAGGCAACAAATACTTCAAGGCTGGGAAGTATGAGAACGCCATCCAGTGCTACACAGAGGCCATCGCGCTGTGCCCCACGGAGCAGAAGACCGACCTGTCCACCTTCTACCAGAACAGAGCGGCCGCCTACGAGCAGCAGGTCAGACGCGCTAAAGCCTTGTTATGTTTTTTATTGACATTTGGCAGCAATCACAGGGTTTCTTCAAGACTTAGTCATTGTACATCTTAAAGGGGACCTATCATGCAAAATGCACTTGTGTACGTCTTTTCTACATGAATATGTGTCCCCGGTGTTCCAGGGAACTCACCAAGTGTCAGAAAACACAACCCTCTCTATTTTCCTCCATACCCAAATCTCTAAAAAAGGGGCTGCAACGGATCTGATAAAAACTGATCCAGATTTGAACACTGTCCTGACGTCAGGACGGTGGCGCTACGGCTATTGGGCCAACTCCACCAATCAGGAGGAGACAGCCACGGCCATTGCCGTTCGAAAGCGCTGGAGACGCTGTAGTACATATGCCAGGCCTGTAGATGGTGCTGTTCTCACAGAATCAGCCCTTGCTAAAACAGAGCTAGAAATTGTCAAATTGAGCAAAATGAGGCATGGCTAAAATGCATGATCTGTTTGGTATTTTGAAAAGAAAAAAGTATAAATATGCCTTATATAGGTATGGTCCTACAATATATCATTATAATATAGCATGATAGGTCCACTTTAAGTTTGTCTGTCCGAAATAACTTTTGTAAAAATAAAATCTGGCCTGTGAGGTTTTACGAAATCAGTCCACTTTCTCCATCAAATAGTTCCAGTCTGTGATTGACAGAGGATGTTATCCTCTCCATTTTGTAAATTATCCATTGTAATATTGATCCATGCGTTTAAAGTTGGGCTATCAGGTGATAACCACTTCCTTGTGAGAGCTTTTTTACTCGCCACCAGCAACAGATTTAAAGGGGACCTATCATGCAAAATGCACTTTCTGATGTCTTTCATACATGAATATGTGTCGCCGGTGTGTCAGGGAACTCGTCCGATATGACGTAATATCGGCGGCGGACCCACAGCACTATCAGAAACGTTGCTATCAGAAACAATGCCCGACTATTTTGGACGTAATATGGTCGGTGTTTACATTAGCATCGCTAACACTCAGAGCTAACCTGTACTGGAGAGCATGTGTGTGAAGAAGCAGGAAATAAAAAGGAACTCACCTTGTGGTATAACCGGCAAGAGAGAAAGCCTTTGAGCTCCATACTGTTTCAGAAACAATCCTTGATCTAATAACCCTTGATCTAATAACCCTTGATCTAATAACCCTTGATCTAATAATCCTTGATCTAATAACCCTTGATCTAATAACCCTTGATCTAATAACCCTTGATCTAATAATCCTTGATCTAATAACCCTTGATCTAATAACCCTTGATCTAATAACCCTTGATCTAATAACCCTTGATCTAATAACCCTTGATCTAATAACCCTTGATCTAATAACCCTTGATCTAATAACCCTTGATCTAATAATCCTTGATCTAATAACCCTTGATCTAATAATCCTTGATCTAATAACCCTTGATCTAATAACCCTTGATCTAATAACCCTTGATCTAATAACCCTTGATCTAATAACCCTTGATCTAATAATCCTTGATCTAATAATCCCTTGATCTAATAATCCCTTGATCTAATAATCCTTGATCTAATAATCCTTGATCTAATAATCCTTGATCTAATAACCCTTGATCTAATAACCCTTGATCTAATAACCCTTGATCTAATAACCCTTGATCTAATAACCCTTGATCTAATAATCCTTGATCTAATAATCCTTGATCTAATAATCCTTGATCTAATAACCCTTGATCTAATAATCCTTGATCTAATAACCCTTGATCTAATAACCCTTAACCCTTGATCTAATAACCCTTGATCTAATAACCCTTGATCTAATAACCCTTGATCTAATAACCCTTGATCTAATAATCCTTGATCTAATAATCCCTTGATCTAATAATCCTTGATCTAATAACCCTTGATCTAATAACCCTTGATCTAATAACCCTTGATCTAATAACCCTTGATCTAATACCCTTGATCTAATAACCCTTGATCTAATAACCCTTGATCTAATAACCCTTGATCTAATAACCCTTGATCTAATAACCCTTGATCTAATAATCCTTGATCTAATAACCCTTGATCTAATAACCCTTGATCTAATAATCCTTGATCTAATAACCCTTGATCTAATAATCCTTGATCTAATAATCCTTGATCTAATAACCCTTGATCTAATAACCCTTGATCTAATAACCCTTGATCTAATAATCCTTGATCTAATAATCCTTGATCTAATAACCCTTGATCTAATAACCCTTGATCTAATAACCCTTGATCTAATAACCCTTGATCTAATAATCCTTGATCTAATAATCCTTGATCTAATAACCCTTGATCTAATAATCCTTGATCTAATAACCCTTGATCTAATAACCCTTGATCTAATAATCCTTGATCTAATAATCCTTGATCTAATAACCCTTGATCTAATAACCCTTGATCTAATAACCCTTAACCCTTGATCTAATAACCCTTGATCTAATAACCCTTGATCTAATAATCCTTGCGTTTCATCACCGCAGCATTTTAGACAGTATCTGCCAGGTCCCGCATGGCATAGGCTCCGCCCCCTCTTATTTAATTTTTTTCAGTTAACCTGTTTCACGCCTTCCCCCCGGTACCGGGCGGATAAACGCGTCATTTGCAGGAAACAACGTCTAAGGAATCTTAATATTGAATAAAACTATGAATGTGTTATATCCATGTAACGGGAAGAAACTCAGCTAACTGATCTTTTTAATTTTTTTTTTCAAAAAAAACCCACAATGCTAGCACTCAGCCTCTGAATTAGCCTCGATCGAAAAAACGGGACCTACTAAGGCACTTAAACTCACTCATAACTCCCTTATTACTTATCCTAGATGCACAACCAAACACTATTTTTTGGTGTCCTGGAGACACTGAATCTAACGGTGCCCACCTCAACACTCAGTGATAAACATTCGCGACGCTATCAACGAAAGCGTACATCATCACATGTGGAGCAAAGAAGCTAAACATGTAAATATGGCTCACCTTGGTCAAAAGTGGTCTTCAATGGCATTAAAACGATAAAAAAACGATGCTGCAGTTAATCCATAGGTTCATCCTATGTGTCTGTGCCTTCTTTGAAATTATTTCTGATAATCCATAAGCAATACAACTGCGTTTTAGTTTCCAAACTCCAGAAGGAGACATTCCTCCAGTTTAGTTTCGCTTTCCACACGCGAAGCGGCAACATTTTTTCTTTACAAGCTGTCTGGGTGGGAGCCTCCTCCTTCGATTCTATTGGCTCTAACGGTCACAAGGGTATGTCAACCAACCAGATCGAGCAAGGGGGGCCAGAGATAGGTCAAATCCACCCAAATGACCACAGATGGCCCAGTTTTTGGCTAAATCTCTCTAAAAAGGTCAAATTTCACTTGTTTTGCATCAATCTTGATACAGGGTACTTATTATATGTTGTACTTTGGATTCCTAAAGCTTTTAGTCTACTAACCCATCATCCAAGGGTAGTTTTCACTATCTGTAAAAAATAATTTTTGGACGGACACTATAATTTACAGTTTTTTTACTATGTAAAATCTGAATTTTCTTTAAAATAAAAAACATTTATATTGATTCTGACACTTCTACATCCAACTCACAGGTTTATCATTACTTTGAGAAAAGATTATTAATTTAACCCTTTTAGAAGGGAAGATATGGTCATTTGTTCTGGGAATGTCATTTTCGAGCCTGAGACCTGAAAAACAGGCTCAGAGTGGAACAGGTTAAATAAAAAAAAAGCTTAATTTTTTTATTTAGCCTTTTATTTAAACAGGATCTCTCGTCTGGTTTGGAAAGGTCGAAAATACTAAAAATAATCATAGACGCATTTTTGCATATTAGAAACGGAGTTGGCGAAACTAAAACTGCAATATAATGTTTGTGTAGCCCTAATACATATGACATGTATTTTAGAAGTCTCCAGTACCGATAAAAAGACCGATAATGTCGGAGCTTAACGGTACCACGGTCTTTAATAATTCAGCCCGGGGCCCGTTTAACACCGGGGCTCCGTACCCATCCCTAATAAGTCATGTTTTATTTTTGGACGGACACAATAATTTAAATGTTTTTACTATGTTCAATCTGAATTTTCTTTAAAATAAAAACATCTATATTGATTCTGACTCTTCTACATCCAACTCACAGGTTTATCTTTGCTTTGAGAAAAAAGATTATTAATTTTCCCCTTTTTAAAAGTGAAGTTATTGTCATTTGTTCTGGGGATGTCATTTTCGAGCCTGAGACCTGAAAAACAGGCTCAGGGCTTAACAGCTTAAAAGATAAGGAAGTGATGTTAGCTGTTGTGCAGTGAATGTTTCAGTAGAACCTGTTTATTGATCCCTCAGTGGGAACATTTACTGGTTTCAGATGCTCACAAGTCAATAAAGAACATTGGGAAAAGTGACTTAGTGAAGATGTTTGCAGTGTGACGAACTTGATCAGATCCTCAGAGTATGTTCAGGCTTTGGGCTCTCTCTTGTTTGGAAGCGCGAGCAGGTCAAAGCTCACTGAAGCTGAACTATACCCGGCCTCACGTAGGGCTGCTCAATTAATCGTATTTTAATTACGATTATGGCTTGCAACGATTACGAAAACAACGTAATCGAAATAAAACGATTATTTTTCAGTTGAATTATACTTAAAGTTCAGGGTAATCAACTGTTAAAAACATACTCTTCACATTTTTTTTCTTCAATAAATTGATGTTTTCAAAGTAAATGGATAATCGTTTTTAATAATCGTGATATCAATTACTGACCCAAATAATCTAGATTATGATTTTTGCCATAATGGAGCAGCCCTAGTCTTCAGTACAGGTGGCAGTCACCTGCCTGCGCTCATCTCTGAAACCAGACCATGTAAACAGGCTGGTGTTTCTAGCAAACAATCTTTAAGAGATGGCATGAGCAGCCCTAACAGCATTTGCCATGGAGGCCAACACATTTTTATTTGGTCTTAAATTGTAGTTTCATTTATTTCCTGTTACTTCTGGACCATGACGTTTAACTGAGTGGAATATGTTGAATATGTTTTACCAAAATGTTGGCTATATGTTAAGGAGTTTTCAGGTTGTGACCGTGCACTGCAACATGTTTGTTGATCTTGTTTATTGGTATCTATTATTTTGATATTATTTATTTAAATGTAGACATGAATGTATAATTTATTTTATTTTGTATTGTTTTTTCAGTTGATTACCCTGAACATGTAATTCAACAGTTAAAAAGTTCATATTATTTGTATTTGTTTGAAAACATCCATTTATTGTACTTTAAAAGTCCATGAATAATCGCATTTAATAATTTGACCCAAATAATCGAGATTATGATTTTTGCCATAATCGAGCTGCCCTAGCCTCACGACACGCTAACCTCTCCACCAGGCAAAGAGAAAACTCGTTGCTAACAGCAGTTTCTGGTCAATGTGTGGCCGACTCGTTGCTAATCATCAACGTTCTCAAATCTTTCCAGCCTCATGTTTGAGTGGAGCTTTCTCACTTCAATGCAACCTCACTGCAGCGTTCACAGTGATCCTTTAAAAGTCTTTAATTAGGTGCAAAACTGCTTTATTTCATTATGTTAAGTTGTTTTAATTCAGGGATGATTCCTAGCTGCATCAGAAGTTGCTCCTTGTAGCAGGGTTTAGTCTGCACCGGGTAACTTAACACGAACTAACCCAACCTGGGTCCAAACACTAACTAACCCAACCTGCGTCCAAACACTAACTAAACCAACCTGGGTCCAAACACTAACTAAACCAACCTGGGTCCAAACACCTGTGGACTTTAAACACTATAAATGGTTATAATTAATATGAAAGCAATAAAGGTGAGCGGTTTAAAACCATGTTCTCTGAATCTGACGTGTCTCTGCAGGTAATCCTGAGAGGCTGATTCTCATTCAAACACTTATTTACTCATGTTTTCCAGTATGGATGTAATACTTAATTAGCATTCATAAAGGTCTTAAAAATAGTCATAAAAGGGTCTTAAAAGGTCAAGGTCTTAACAAGGTCAAGGTCTTAACAAGGTCTTAACAAGGTCAAGTTCTTAACAAGGTCTTAACAAGGTCTTAAAAATAGTCCTAAAAGGGTCTTAACAAGGTCAAGGTCTTAACAAGGTCAAGGTCTTAACAAGGTCAAGGTCTTAACAAGGTCAAGGTCTTAACAAGGGCTTAACAAGGTCAAGGTCTTAACAAGGGCTTAACAAGGTCAAGGTCTTAACAAGGTCAAGTTCTTAACAAGGGCTTACCAAGGTCAAGGTCTTAACAAGGTCAAGTTCTTAACAAGGGCTTAACAAGGTCTTGACTAGGTCTTGACAAGGTCCTAAAAGGGTCTTAACAAGGTCTTCTTAACAAGGTCCTTAAAGGGTCTTAACAAGGTCTTCTTAACAAGGTCCTTAAAGGGTCTTAACAAGGTCTTAACAAGGTCTTCTTAACAAGGTCCTTAAAGGGTCTTAACAAGGTCTTCTTAACAAGGTCCTTAAATGGTCTTAACGAGGTCCTAAAATGGTCTGAAAAGGGTCCTACAAATGTAATAAAAGGGTCTTCACAAGGACTTAATAAGGTCTTAAAAAGGTATTGGCAAGGTCTTAACAAATTCTTAAAAAGGTCCTAAAATGGTCTTGAAAGGGTCCTACAAATGTAATAAAAGGGTCTTCACAAGGTCCTAAAAAGGTCTTAACAAGGACTTAATAAGGTCTTAAAAATGTCTTGGCAAGGTCTTAACAAATTCTTAAAAAGGTCCTAAAAATGTCTTGGCAATGTCCTAAAATGGTGTTGAAAGGGTCTTAACGAGCTCTGGTTTGAACCCCTGTGTCTGCAGATGAAGTGGGCCGAGGTGGTGCAGGACTGCTCTCAGGCCGTGGACATGAACCCTCGATACATCAAGGCTCTGTTCAGGAGGGCCAAAGCTCTGGAGAAACTGGAGAACAGGAGGGAGTGCCTGGAAGGTCAGACTGAATGTTCAATGTGTAATAATGTGTTCTATGTTTAGAGTTGTGTGGTTCCTCTGCTCTCCTGTTATTGCCTGGTTCCCCTTCCAGCAGCGTTGTCATAAAGCCTCTGTTTATCCAGTTTGAATCCACGTTTCTACCAAACACTTTTTAACTAATGAAGGATGTTCGTGATGAGACGAGAAACAAGCTGAGCTAACGTTAGCAGCAGCCCAACAGAAACTCCGATTTTAACCTCAAACTGAAACTTTATCCAGTATTTTACCGCTTTATATGTTAATATTTATATCAGAGGAGATGCTGAAAACCTCCTGAAGCATCAACACTGAAGGAAAGTTAGAGACTACAACTCCCATCATACCTTTCTGTTCATCATCACAGAGAAACCCCGCTTTTTACTGATTGCATTGAGTCTCTGTGTCAGAAACACACATATTGGGCATTTAACGGCACCTTAACTGATATAGTAGAAGTCAGCAAACTGGAGAGGCATTAGTGTCCGTGTTGTTTTTGAGAGCAGGTGTTATATGTGTGTAGATTTGGTTCGATTACAAATAGATATTTTCCCGGCATAGACCCACACTTCCTGCCAGTCTAGGTCATCAATAATGAAGACCGGGGGTGTTTCTCAATCGCGAGTACGCTTGCTTGGTAGCACATGTCTGCCGAGCATCTTGCTTCAGAAGCGAGTCAAGAATACTTCCTGGCATTCGGAAAACAAAGAGTGGAACAGGCTAGCCAGTGTGTAGGTGTGCGTCATATAGGGATGGGTATCGTTAAGGTTTTAACGGTACTACTACTTTTATCGATACCGCTTATCGGTCCGGTCTTTTAACGGTACTTTTATCGGTTGTTTTGGAGAGAAAAATGAGGTAAACTAACTATATGTTGTTTGTCAGGGACTACGGATGGAAATTAGATCAAAGCTAAAATCCGGCATATTTACACTTGAAGCATTATTTGTCTAAAGTGTTCATTAATGTGCATTGTCCCTATTCAAATAAACAATTAAATGAAAATTAACAAATTGTGAACAAAACTAACATTGCTTTTTATTTAAATTAAATACATAATATTTCACATCAACAGAAACAACAACGTTTTAACAAATCATATTAAATAATCTGATGACAGAACTGTGAACAGAATAGCTGAAACTTTAACAAACTAAATAACTCAGTTCCCTCTAATCATTAACCCATGTTTGTATCATTGAGTTAGCTCCGTGTGTTGCTGCTAGCATACATAACACCTGACGTGGAAACGTTACTCGTGGATGGGGCTACAGAGCTACTAGAGAGACAGTCGAACCCGGTGCATTTCTCCGTCTGAACGTGGTGCACTTTTGCAAGATGTTTAGACAAATTGCTCGTGTTACCGCCCTGACATGCTGAACTCTTATTGCACTTTAGGCAACGAGCGAGACGGGTAAAGTTTAACCACACCTCGGAGCGCTTTTGTTTGTAGCGCTTAGTTCTCTCCGCCATCTCCTCCGTGTGTGTGTGTTGCCCCATGGAGCAGCTGCATGTGTGTAAACTGCCCCGCCCCCTCGCACACAGGCGGGGGAGAGAGATCTCTCGTCTGGATTGGAAAGATCGAAAATACAAAAAATGACGCATTTTGCAGTCTTTCTGCTAGAGTTAGAAACGGAGTTGGCGACACTAAAACTGCAATATAATGTTTGTGTAGCAATAATACACATGACATATTTTTTAGATGTCTCCAGTAACCGATTCAAAAAGACCGATAACGTCGGAGCTTAACGGTACCACGGTCTTTAATAATTCAGCCCCGGGGCTCCCGTTTAATACCGGGGCTCCGTACCCATCCCCTAGACGTCATATGAGAGGCCCCGCCTCCTTACATCTTCCGCCACAGATTTGGGGAAATTGAGTCCGTGCGCAAAGCATTGTGGGGATTTTTAAGGCCGCGAAGTCTACTCATGTGCACACTCGATATTTCCTCCAAACGGAAGTACGCCGGGCTCGTAGACTTCCAAGTATGCTGGAGATTGGAACAGTACTTCGGCGGCACTCGATGACGTAGCATCCTTGAAATAGTGGCTCTGGAGCAGCTTTACTCGACATTGAGAAACACCCCAGGTGTCTCTCCCAGGTGTCTCTCCCAGGCGTCTCTCTCCCAGGTGTCTCTCCCAGGTGTCTCTCCCAGGTTGTCTCTCTCCCAGGTTTTGTCTATTCTCCCAGGTGTCTCTCTCCCAGGTGTATCCTCCCGGTGTCTCTCCAGGTTTGTCCTTCCCCAGGTGTCTCTCTCCCAGGTGTCTCTCTCCCAGGTGTTGTCCTCTACCCAGGTTGTCTCTCCCAGGTGTTTTCCCTCTCCCAGGTGTCTCTCCCAGGTGTCTCT